TTATACGACGCATTTCTTTCGAATGGTATATGACTCGATGTAAAAGCATGGGGATTTAGATGAAAATTTTTTGGTTGAAAAAAAGCGACACTATTTATGAGACAACCTAATAGATCGCCGAGGAATATCCTTCGCTGCGAATTGTGTGCCAGTCCGCACCCTTAGGAGTTCGCCTGTCCTCCCACCAGGTAAAATTCACCATCTTCGACCTTCAACTTATCGCGAAATCCCACTTTAAGTGTGATTATGCTCCAGATGCTCCAGTGAAGTTTGAGGAAGTGTATGTGATGCGAATGTTTTTGTATGATTCACTTTCAGGCGTTTTACTAAGGAGTGGAGGGAAGGGCGGAAGAGCGGGAAGAGGCATCGCAGCGCAGTAGTTCGTCTCAGGAATAGTAATTCAATTTTCCTTTTTTTTTGTCGTGAAAAGAAGCTTCACGGCGCGTGGACCATTCTACTTGTACAGAAAGGGCATTAAGCATGTATTAAAATGGAAATGTTTTTCGGAATTTGAAAGCATTAAGTGTACCAGTGGTGCCCCTCCTCCCGCTTTCGTATGCCAGCGCCCACTTCTAATAATTACTGGTGCACTCCAAATTACTTGTTTTTGTAGTGTCTAATGCGTTTACCCTCTTCAAACTTTCAAAACGCTCCTGATCATCACACAGAACGCATAAGCAGGATAAGTAGGCTTTTAGGGATAGGGGCATAATTTTACTCTATGAAACAATTGTTGAGAAGTGGGTTGGTCAAATGCCAAGATCTTAGTTGGAGAGGAAGAGCAGTAACCTTAGCGGTGGTCACCGCTTGTCCCCTCACCGCGCCCTGTGCCGTTGTGACATCACCAGCACGCGTTGCTTGCATGCTGTCGGTGAGCTTTTCCTTCCCTCTTCTACCTCATCTTCCCCCCCCCCTACCTTCCTGCTCAGTCCAACTCACATCTGCGTGATCTGGTCTGCTTGCAGCAATGTTCGAGCACATCCACGCAGCCTCTCGACGTACATCGCATCGTGATTTGTGCGACAGGGAACGGACCTGTAGTTGAGGGTGTTCATAGGAAATGGTACGATACCAGTGATGAAAATGTATCTAAGCAATGGGATTAAGTTTTAAGATCCTACCAGAATATCATAAAATCGTGGATGAGAAATAATGGCAGCCGTCTGGATATCGTTTCCTGTGATAATGTTACCAAGTATTCGGAGTGCGCCGTGATGTAGTTCACCTATGGGCTAGAAGAACGTATACTTTATTGACCATATAGATTAGTAAGATAGAAAAGTAGTACATGAGCAGCACACCATCACGAGAAACAACTCACTGAATCTAGAATTTCGAATGCCAGATCCACCAAACCCGGTTCATTTAGCACTACTTCTATCTGAATTAGTTATCCTTTTTCTTCATGGCTGGGAATTAGTATGAATGCAGCATAATACAGAATCAGCCGTTCTCAAAAGGTATCACATGACACTCGTTATTGCACTACAGAGCAAAGGAACGTTTATAAGGTCTCGTGAATCAACCTAGGGCGTTCGTTCGGTAGTGAATGAGCGCTCATTCCTTGTCGTGCGTTATCGTCTAAACATAACAGAAGATGAAGCTTTCATTTTTCAAGGATTGCCAAAACGTATTAGATTCCCCTCACAATTGCCCACCTAACCCCTGCTAAAGCTAGAAATCGCGAGAAGCAGGAAAGCGTCGAGTGCAGACCACACACCACAAGTGACGACGGCCAAGAAAAAAGTGGCTTTTCTTTTTTTTTCTTGGCCGTCGTCACTTGTGGTGTGTGGTCTGCACTCGACGCTCTTCTCGTTCTCCGAAATGGAGGGCATATAACTTTGGCTCCTAATCACGCCATTGATAGGGCGCCTTTTACCGAAAGATAGAAGCGAGCGAGCTATCGTCTATTTGGACACTGCTCACCTTTATCGTTCATAAACATCCGTTTTCTCGCGATTTTTTTTTTACTAAGAGATGCCACTAACAAGGGAAGGATACCAAGTCGAAGTGGCCATCCGTAATGAAACCTATACTCAGAGATGTGTTTTCGGACGCTGATCTCAAATCCACTCTCCAAATTTGCGAAACGATTCTCTGAAAAGAGTTACGGAGGTTGTTTCAAATGAAAGCCCACTGTAAGAGACTCCGGCAGAGCGGCTTCCAGCGGCGGCTTGGCCGAGTGGTAGTGTTGGCGGCTTCAGTGGTGAGACCATGGATGGGATCTTGCTGGGTGGGACTTTTTGCTTTTGTAATTAGTCTGTTTTGAGTATAAAAATTATTCAGTGGTGAAATTTACACTGCGTCCAAAGCTATCACGTGTTTAGAGGGGTTTGCTTCAAGCATCATCCACTTTTGCGTAATGTTTCCGACCACTGTCGGGGTGTTTCTACGCCACGGAAGTGACGTATATCCGACGATGGGCTAAACAAATGGGAGATGCTTGCAACGGACCAAACTATCTTTGAAGGCTTAATTCTAGAAAGCTGACATTTGGACCCAATTTCGAAACTTGGTCTACAATCAGTCGTTGGTGCTATCCCTACTCCTAGCCACTACCCTCGTGCTGTCCTACCATAAACGGCAACGAGCGTGTACTTGAGAAAAATACCATATAATCCTTCGGATGGCGCAAGCAAGTAAAGCAGACACGTATATCTCTTCACAACAATGATTGAAAGTTTAGTTCCATCCCATGATCAGGCTCTGACAATGGGTTGATGGATAAGATGACTGAGACTTTTTTTTAGACTTTGAGATTTTTAGATTTGAGTGGCCCACATTTTCGACTTTAAGTCAAAATTTTAGATTTGGACCAAAAGTTGTTGAAAGGGGTATTTGACGCGCTGAACACGAATATCACATCTGCTTGGCACGAAATTGCCTGACGCGTGCGCTACGGGTGCCAGAGGCGGTCACTTGCAAATGACGCGCACAGTGTTCGAAGCTCTTCGCCAGCTCTTTCCACTTGTGCTATAGGCAATCGCTGATGAACTTAGCATGGATAAGAGTCCTTAAACAACGTTCTCAAGAAAAGCAAAAGTGAGAACTCGCCAAGAACTCGATCTCACGACCTCTTGTCGTCGGCCCGGGCCGCTGCCACTGCACTATCTCGCTTCATAACTACGTTCAGAGAATCGTTCCGCAGATTTGGAGAGCAGATTCGAGATCAGCGTCCAAAAACACATCTAGTGGTGTATGTCTCGTTACAAATGGCCACTTCGACCTGGTATCCTTCCCTTGTAAGTTTATCAATGCTTGTCATTCACGTCAATGGGTTCTGCAACTACGAATGCATGACGCACCTCAAGAACTATTGATGCTCAGGTCGCAAATGCATTCCTTTCTACTGGGTGATCGAAACAGATCTCACCGTACCTGGGTACCCTGATGCATATCGTCAGCTATGGATGCCAACGTCCACAGACAGTCTTTGGCGAGATCCGTCCACACGGTATACCTTCGCGTAAGATCAGCTAATGACGTTACTAGCATTTGAATAGTCTGGGAAATCCATTTATGAGCGTCCGTATACGTACCATTGCCTTTCGTGGGAAGTCTTACCGGGAGCGGTACGGTACCGTTTCGGACACCACCACGCATCACGTTCATTGCGCACCATACGATGTTCTTCAGGTCACTCAGCTCGGTATGAGTTCCTTGAGCGAGTATCCGGGCTATCACCTAAAAACACCTATTTCCAGATGCTGCTTAATCAGGCGGCTAGCAGCCGACTTGTGGAAGTCAAAATGCTGGAATCCTGCAGAATGGTTGACGGAGTTCTTCAACCAGATCGTTGCAGAGAAGAAGGTGCCTGAGAGCTGGCAACAGAGCACGACGATTCCTATCTGGAAGAAGAAGGGCAGTCCTGGAGACTGCACTAGCTACCGTCCAATTCGCCTGCTCTCGCACAGCATGAAAATCTTTGAGCGAATTGTAGACAGTCGTATCCGTCGAGCTGACCACCAACCAGTGTGGTTTCGTGGCTGGCTGCAGCACCATCGATGCCACCACTGCCATACGCCGCTCACCTTCTGCTAGAGAAACATTGCGAAAAGCGAAGACTAGCGCATCTTGCCTCTCTGGACTTGCTGAAGCTTTTCCGTGTCCGTGTGACTTTGACATTGTATGTATGCCTCACGACAGCATGGCGTTCCCGAAGAGCTTATTGAGTGGGTGCGCATCCTCTGCTCGAGTCCAAAGAGCCGAGTGCAAACGGCAGCAAGCACATCGATGGATTTTCCCATCTCTGTCGGACTACACAAGGCTCTGCGTATCCCCACTCCTATTTGTTGTCGTCAAGGATGACTTCAAGAGATCTCCAGAAGCCGGTTCAGGGCGCTCCCTATATTTCGATGACCGCACACTCAGCTGCAGTTCAAGCCTAGTCCGAGTTTATCTATCAGACTCATGTCAAACATTAAAGGTTAGGAACCGTCCATCAATTCATGTGCGTCAAGCTATATACATTTGTTGGTACTGAGCTCACTCTACAACAGCGTCCAAGTATCTGGCTAAAACAGTCTTTCGATTGACAGTCTCTTTTTGAAGCGAATTTTGCGTGAGTGCAACCTGGTCGACACAGCGTTCGAAGACTGGCGTTTTCTGCCATGAGCACATTCTATTAGAACGCTAAAAATCTCTATAGAACTGTCATCCGGCCAGTCACGATTTACGGTGCTGAGTGCTCGACTGTGACTAAAGAAATTGAAGCCCGTTTCAGTGTGATGGAGACACAAATTCTGCGCTGGGCACCTGCTTAAAGGAATCTTCCGCGGAAAAAGCTCCGCCTCCATTACCACAGAAAAACGATACCCCTTAGGCCCCTAGCCTCATGAGCATAGCAAAAAGAACGGAACATAAGCGTTAGTTTCGATAATACTAATCCTACACACAAGACAAAATGATCACTCTTTCCGTGGAAGATTCCTTTAAGGTATCGTTTTCTGTGGTAATGAGGGCGGAGCTTTTTCCGTGGAAGATTCCTTTAACACGACTAGACATTCGAAAAGATTTCATCAGAAAGCGATTCGGTGTGGCTCCATTGTCGACAAGATGCGCGAAGCCCGTCTTCGATGGTATGGTCATGTTCTTCGCGCGAAAGATGACAGTGTCCGTAAGATCGGTCTCAACCTTGACGTGCCGGAAAGCGGCCTAAGGGACGTCTGAAGCAGCGTTGGCTCAATGCCTTGCACAAAGATTTGGGCAACCGCTGAAGAATAGGAAGAAGAACAAGAAGAAGAAGTGGTCGATATACAAGCTCAGCTCTGATATGGTTGGTCTCTGATTTACTCCTTATTGCTGCATCAAATAGAGGCTCTAATTTTATGTTTTATCAGCACTTTCAATGCCAGCTTATATTGAGGTTTTCAATGCCAGCTTATATTGAGGTACATACAGTGAGAAGTCCTGTTTCACGACATTTTTTCTTGCAATCGGCACAGTCGGCAGCTATGTTGCCTAACGCCCAAATGCACTGTATCCGAAATTCGCCAGTACCTGATATAACACCGGCTAGCAAGGCTTGAATGCCATCCTGAATTCAAATATATAAAATAAATTGCAGTATCATAGGGATTAGTAGCGTGAGTATTATAAGCGTAATAAGTGAAACGCAAGCGAACGAGATTCAGCATTGTACATTGGGCGGAGGTAGTACAGGATTCCTGGCGCCCTGTTGCATTTATGAATTCCACATCGTACCAATGAGAGCTGATCCAAAGAGTTGTCACAACAAATGGCATATGGAAGAAGGGATGG